CCATGAAAGCTTCGTGCCTCAGTAAAAGAAGTCGGGGAAGGCCAATCCCGAATAGCAGCCACCTTGCTGTCGTCGACCCTAATACCATGTGCCGAGATCACAAAGCCCAAAAATAACACAGAATCCACCAAGAAGGAGCACTTACGAGGAGCAGCAAAAAAAGACTCAGCCCGCACAACCAACAGGACGGAACGAATATGCTGCAAATGCTCCTCCACCGAACGACTGTAAATGAGGATGTCGTTGAAATAGACGACGACGCAAGTGCCGATGAAATCACGAAGAGCCTGGTTCATGACCCTCATGAAAGTACTCGGAGCATTGGACAGGCCAAACGGCATGACCATCCACTCGAACAGCCCCTCTCGGATTTTGAACGTTGTCTTCCACTCGTCCCCAGGCCTAATACGAATCTGGTGATAGCCGCTACGGAGATCCAGCTTAGTGAACACGCAGGCACCATGCAGCTGATCCAGCAAATCATCGAGGCGAGGAATGGGAAACCGGTAGAACCGTGATTTTATTAATTGCACGGCTATCAACACACATCCGCCACGAGCTATCCTTCTTGGGAATGAGAAGGGCCGGGATCGCACACGGGATCAAACTCCTACGAACCACACCCCGCTGGAGAAGCTCCTCAACTTGACGGCGAAGCTCCTCATGCTCCATAGGACTCATCCGGTAGTGAGGGCGATTAGGCAACGAAGCCCCGGGAACCAAGTCAATATTATGTTGAATGTCACGAAGTGGGGGCAACCCGGAAGGAATATCATCCGGAAAAACGTCAGCGAACTCGGACAATAACGGCAGAATGGCAGCCGGTGGTGGCTGGTCAGCACTCATGTCCACGCCCACAAGTAATAAAGTCACCGGAGAGTCATGCATAGCTGCCATAAAAGCGGCACGTGAAAGGACAAGCACGGAAGAAGGCGCACTTACTGGCGGCTGAAGGCGAGGGGCATTGGGCACCAAAATAATTTTAACACCACCGAAAAGAAAGGAATAGGTATTCTGTCGGCCATCGTGAGTAGCAGCCCGATCAAACTGCCAAGGCCGTCCCAAAAGCAAATGACACGCATCCATCGGTACCACATCGCACCACACCTGATCACTATATTTGGTCCCAACAGAAAAAGAAACCAGGACCCGACGGTCCACTGTAACAGCGGTGCCCTTCTGAATCCAAGCCAAAGTATACGGCTGAGGATGGGGCTCGGTCGAAAGATGCAGCTTATCCACTGCTTCCTGCGCAATTACATTTTCACAAGATCCCGAATCAATAATAAAGCGGCATACTTGGTACCGATCGTGCATGTGGACTCAAATAGGTGATGACGCTCCACCGGTGAGTCCGGGGAACCACGCGGGACCAGACAAGTACGTCGAATGACCAAGGCCGTGCCAACATCGCCGGTTACATATTCCTCAACATCACCAGCCTCGGCATCAAAATTCGGAGGACCCTCGTAGCCCTCGGCCGTCTCAAACTCCCCGGCCTCCTCCGCAAACAACGCCCGTGTACCGGAAATTTTGGGGCAGACCGCATGGCGGTGTCCCTGCTCGCCGCAGCCGAAGCAGCGAAGACCTGCGACGCCACGGGAAGGCCCTATCGACGGTTGCTGTCCGCCCACCCCTGCTGCCCGCTGGGGCCCGCCGCTGGTTGCTGTAGGAGTCGAGCGCGGGCCTGTTGTTGCCGATCCAGCAAACCCCCCAATACGCGAAGAAGAAGGAAAGGACGGGCCCGTTTTTTGTGCAAACTGTAGCTCGACAAGGAGAGCTCGTTGATGAGCATCCGACACCGACTCCGGGCGAAACATGTTTAATGTCTCGCGAATCCCAGCGCGCAATCCACCGATGTATCGTGCCACCAATTGGTTTTTCGTCTCACGCAAAGCGACACGAGTCAAAAGCCGTTGGAACTCCATCGTATAGTCATTCACCGAGCGAGTCCCTTGGCGTAAATTTTGCAGCTGCTGATAAACAATAGTATCATAGTTGAAGGGCACGAATTCACGCTCTACAAGCTCACGAAATTTAATCCACGATGAAAGTGGTTGTTTCCCCTGACGATGCCGCAAGCTACTCACATTCATCCACCACACTGCCGCACGGCCCCGAAAACGTGTGGCCACTAAAGCGACACGCCTCTCATCCGGGACCTCCTTAAAAGAGAGGGCGGCCTCAACCGCAGCCCACCAATCAACAAATTCCGAACCATCGACTCCGCCATCAAACTCGGGAATCTCCACCCAAAACCCTTGCTCCCAACGTGACTCATCGCCACCTTCTATCGGGCGCCTGCCGTCACGTCGATGCACCCCCAGACGATCAAAACCCTCGCGAGCACAAAACCCTGGCCGCCGCTGAAGGTCCACGTCCCAGTCATCTTCATCCTCCAAAAACTGCTCGTCGTCCACCGCATCTGCCCTGGCCCGCGGAAAGTGACCATCATGTCGCCTCTGATAATCGCCGCCACCCCCGCGATGAAAGCGACCCCCGCCGTTGATATGCTGCTGACGGAACTCGTCGTCCGGTGGTGGCCGTCGCTGTCCCCCAGCAAACGGGTTCACCTCGCTGAACGTGTCCTCGTCATCAGTGCCGGTCGGAGTCCCTGGTGAACGCCGGCGGGGCGCCCCGCCATAGCCACGCCCTCCACGGCCTCCGCGAAGCCCACCGCGCCCGGCCCGGTCACCGCCGTCGCGTCTCGCACGATTCTCCTCCATCAAGGTGTTCATAGCCTGGAGAATTTCCTCAATCCCCGATGAGATGTCCGTGAAACGGTCGTCCACCCCTTGGAATCGCTCTTCCATTCGTTGGAAACGATCGTCAACGTTATCTCTTTTCGGCGGCATCGCGGATCGTCGCTGGTCTCTGGATACCAACTGATGTAGAGCGTAGTACGAACGGGAATAGGATGAGATACTCTCTAACACACACAGAAATTTCAATTCATAATAATCTGCTGTTATTCATCGTAGTTCTCCAATAAATAATAAGAGAAAGAGTCCTATTCTAATATCTTGCCTAACATATTGCAAGATATTTATTTTAATTACCTAAAATAAAAGGAAATAACATAATAAGCAAATTAATAATAAATGACTTAAACTCGAAGCCTGTCGTATTTATTTAAAAAGGCGATCGCGGTCTCGTCTCCATCACAAACAAACGGCTAGTTGGCTGCTGTACTATGCTGAGGGAGAAAGCATGTGCATGGCTGTGTATGAGAGAGAAAAAGAGATTAACTCTAAGTAATTATGTTAACTGAACACTTAAGCATATCTTATAACACTTAAGCATATCTAGCATATCTAACAGTCCCCTCTCAATTCAAGCGAGCTAAGAGAAGCAACTCTCAACTTGTTGCGCATGCGACAGAAGAATTGACCCGTGATAGGCTTGGTCAAAGGGTCCACTGCTTGATTAATGGCTGGAATATGGAGAACTGTGATGGATTTGTTGAGCACCTTTTCTCTAATGAAATGAAGATCGACTTCAATGTGTTTTGTTCTTCCTTGAATCACCGGGTTACAGGACATAAAAACAGTGCTAAGGTTGTCCACCCAAACAGTAGGTGGAGGGAGCTTTCTTAAGTGAAGCTCATGAAAGAGGATCTTTATCCACAGAACTTCTGAAACAGCAGATCCCAAGCTTCTATACTCTGCTTCAGCACTGCTTTTTGAAACTGTATGTTGCTTCCTTGAGCTCCAAGAGATGAGATTATCACCAATGAACACACAATGCCCTGATGTTGATTTTCTGTCATCAGGATCTGAGGCCCAGTAAGAATCAGAAAAAGCAGAAAGATGAAGATGATAGGACTTGACAAAGGAAAGTCCATAGTCTGCAGTGCCAGCAACATATCTAAGAAGTCTCTTCATGGCTTTCCAATGTGGTTCAAGTGGAGACTGCATGAATTGGATTAATTTATTGACTGCATAAGTGATGTCTGGCCTTGTGATTGTCAAGTATTGAAGACAACCAATGAGTTGTCTATAATGAAAGGGGTCTGATAATGGATTACCATTGAACTTAGAGATACCAGGTGAACTGATCATAGGAGTTGCAAGTCCCTTTGAGTTACTCATATGAGCTTTAGCAAGAATTTGAGAGATGTAGTGTTGCTGAGTGAGCAGCATACCGTTTTTAGTGTAGTGGATTTCCATTCCCAGAAAATGGTGCAACTCTCCCAAATCTTTCAAAGAGAACTCCTTAGATAAGGAGTGGATGATATCAGCAATGAGGGAGGTGGAACTTCTTGTGATTAAAATGTCATCCACATAAACAAGAATGTAGATAATGTGAGAAGATGTTGTCTTGATGAATAATGATGTATCTGCAAGAGAGGACTTGAACCCCAAGTGAAGGAGCACTGTAGAGAGCTTGTCAAACCAGGTTTTGGATGCCTGCTTAAGTCCATAAATGGCTTTGTGAAGCCTGCAACCATATCCAAGTTCCTTTTTAGTTTCAAAACCAGGTGGTTCTTCCATATATATCTCAGTGGTTGACTCAAGTGCACCATTTAAGAATGCATTGTCCACATCAACTTGCTTAATTTGCCAACCTTTGGTCACTGCAATAGAGAGGATCAATCTGATGGTTACTGGTTTGATGATTGGGCTAAAAACTTCATTGAAGTCTATGCCTGCCACTTGTGTGTACCCTTTGGCCACTAGTCTGGCTTTGTACCTTGAGATACTCCCATCTGCATTGTGTTTCACCTTAAACACCCACTTGCAGCCTACAGGTTTTCTATTTGATGGTAAGGACACCACACTCTAAGTTTTGTTTTTGAGAAGGGCCTGATATTCTGCCTCCATGGCTTGTCTCCAGTGTGGTGTGGAAAGAGCTTCTTCTAAAGTATTAGGCTCCTCAGTGGTCATTGAAGAGGCATAAACTTTGGGTTTGGAAATCCCCCTCTTTTATCTTGTGACCATGTGGTGTTGAGAGTGATCTGTGACTGGATTTGTTGGCTGCTGGTTTGGAGGACTAGAAACCTCCATGTTGGGCATGATGTTTTGTAAATGAGGTGATGAGGAAGATGGTGTGTGATGTGAGTGGTGAGGTGAATGCACAGGAGAATGCAAAGGTGAGGTATTTTGTGAGGCATGTGCAGTGGAATGAAGGTCATTTTGAGGTGCTGTATGGGTTGGAATTTGTATTACTGGTTCATTAGCATGCAAAGGTGGTGGAATGGAGAAATCAGAAACATCATAATGTTGCTCAATATGCCTTAGATTGTCAGTTTCTTTGTAAGGAAAACAAAGTTCATCAAACACCACATTTCTAGAAATAATGATCTTATTTTTCAGAAGCACTTTGTACCCTTTATATTGGGATCTGTAACCTAAAAACACCCCTGGAGTTGACCTCAAGTCCAGTTTATCTTTGGTATAAGGCCTTAAATGGGGAAAACACCTGCAGCCAAAAACTTTAAGGTGTCTATAGTTGGGAATTTGACCATAAAGTCTGTGATAAGGAGATTGATAAGAGATGGTTTTGTTTGGTATTCTGTTGATAAGATATATGGCTGTGGAAAAGGCTTGTTCCCAGAATCTCTTAGGGATATTAGAAGCTGACATCATGCTAAGGGAAACCTCTATGACTTGCCTATGTTTTCTTTCTACCAACCCATTTTGTTGAGGGGTATAAGGACAAGAAATTCTGTGATGGATTCCTTTTTCTGAAAACAAACTGGACAAGGGCTTGAATTCTGTCCCACCATCACTTTGAATGGTTTTGATTTTGAGGTTCAATTGATTTTCCACCACGTTTTGAAAATGGACAAAGGCTTTATAGGTCTCTGATTTTTGTTTGAGGAAATACAACCATGTAAATTTAGTGTAGTCATCAACAAAGGCCACATAATAGCAAGCTCCTGAGGTTGATTTTATAGGAGCTGGCCCCCAAAGATCAGTATGAATGAACTCAAGTGGTTTTTCAGTGTTGTGAACAACAGTAGGAAAAGGTAAGACATGAGATTTAGCTTGGAGACAATCAGCACAAAGAGTAATTTTATTATTTGCATAGGGCAGGTTACAAATGTCAAGAGCTTTCTTAGTAACATCAAAAGATGGATGCCCTAACCTCCTATGCCATAATTCTAGATCCTTAACACTACTGACAAAATAACTAAGCTTCTTGAGGCTGTTCTCCTCTTGATTAAAAGACTGAGATAAAGAAGGCACAGGATCCTTCATTTTCATCTTGAAAGTGTATAAACCATCTTTAAGAGTTCCCTTGAGGAGGGGTGTTCATGTGGCCTGGTCCTTCACAACACAGAAAGTGGCAAAAAATTCAAAGAAAACATTGTTATCTTTGGCAAATTGAGCAACACCAAATCTATCTCTCCGGTGAGCTAGAACAAGAGCATTCTTCCTCCGGTGGAAGATTCCAAACCTTGAAGAACAAGGGTAGTTAATGAGATTCTTAGCTATTTCAGGAACATGGAGAAGATTGTTTAATTTGAAAGTGTGGTGTGAGTTTGTGAAGAGAGTTTTACCAACATGTGAGATGTCTAGCCCTGAGCCATTGCCAATCTGAAGTTTGTTGTTCCCTGTATAGTCTGAAGCCACACTTAGGTTGGAGAAATCATTGGTAATGTGATGAGTAGCACCTGAATCAGGAAACCAGTCACTTTCACTTTGATTGCTTCCAGTTGCATACATGGCTGAACTTTGTCCTATGCTCCTGTTGTCATTAAAGCCTCTCTGATTTGTGTTGCTAGGAACAAAGTCTGAATTGAACCTGTTGTAACATTTATCAGCCGTGTGGTTTGTGTACCCACAGATATGGCATTGGACTCTATTCTGAGGGAATCTTCCTCCTCTACCCCTTGCTCCTCTTTCTTTGCCTCTATAGCCTCCTCTTTCTCTCTGATTGCTGAAGTTCTGTTGAGGTTTGTTGTTCTGTGAGGCTATGTTTGCAGAAGGTAAGATGGTGTTCTCTGTTGCTATTGCAGCTGCCTCAAGTCTGCTCTCATATGTGAGCAAGAGTGCCATGACATCCACCAATGTGAGAGTTTCTACTCTTGCATTGACACTCACAACCACTGCATCATACTCAGAGCTTACACCAATTAGGATGTGCATGATCTGGTCTTGCTCTGTGATGACATGACCTCCAGCAGCTAAGGTGTCACAACACACCTTGATCTTGTTGACATATTCTTTTATGTTGAGGTTGCCTTTCTTAAGATTTTGCAGCTGGATTCTGTAGTGCATGGTCCTTGCTTTGGATCTGGTTGAGAAGGAGGCTTCAAGGGCTTTCCAGATCTCATTGGAGCTATTCAACCCAATCACTGAGATGAGAATGGACTCAGATAAAGAGAACCATGATGCTAGCAGTTGGTCTTGCCTTTGCCAGCTCACATAATCTGGGTTTGTTTGGAGCAACCCCTCTTCTGGTCCTGGGATAAATCTGGTGGGTTGAAAAGCTGTGCCATCGAGAAATCCATCTAGGCCATACCCTCTTACAGTTGTCAAGACCTGCTGCCTCCATAGAAGATGATTGTCATCTGAGAGCTTAATAGAAAGAAGCTGATTGTGGAGAGGAGTGGGTTGAGGAGTAGATGGTGGGTGAACGTTGAGTGAAGAAGAAGGAATCTCGGCCATGGTTTGGTTTTCAGAAACAGTGGATCTTCATCCCTGCTCTGATACCATGTTGGAAACAAATTTAACCATTGTTGATTTGAAACAAGAAAGCAAGAAAGGGCAACAATGAAGAAGATAGAATGATTTCTGTATATTTGATGATAATAAGATCTGATACAATATGGTATATTTATATTCCTAACAAGAGGGATCTAGAACCTTAAAGTATAAGATCAAAGAATATGATGAGTTGTCACTACTTGCCAAAACACCATAACAAACTTCTAATGAGCCAAACAAACGGCTAGTTGGCTGCTGTACTATGCTGAGGGAGAAAGCACGTGCATGGCCGTGTATGAGAGAGAAAAAGAGATTAGCTCTAAGTAATTATGTTAACTGAACACTTAAGCATATCTCATAACACTTAAGCATATCTACATATCTAACAATCATATTCCATTACTAATGATCTCTTTCATGAGTTCATAGAATTTAAAAAGTCTCAGGGTACAAGAAACAATGGTCAAGAATCATCTTGTAATCCTGTTATAGCAACTCCTCTACCAGATGCACCAGGTATATCTAATCCTTTAATTTGCATTGTGTCTAGAAATGTAGGCAAAAATAGTTGGATACTAGATACTAGGGCAACTTACCACTTGGTGTGCGACATGTCTTTTTTAGAGCTCAACCTACCTCTGTTAACATTCTGATTAATTTAATTACCAAATGGTAATACAACATTACCGCGCGTCACAACGCGACAAATTAGAATTTATATTTTTCTTCGACTAACATCTACTAACTAGTAATAGCGGCAAGTAAAAGGTCAACCCCACAAGGAGTGAGAGTCAAATTGTGAATTTTCTTGTACTAATTGAAATTAAGGGGAGGGATTGAATTTAATAACTAAAGTAACAAAAAAATCTGTAATGTTACTTATGATCCATTAATTTTGCATAAATTATGTTAGTTAAGGTTATACATAACCATTTTTGCTATGTAGTCATCAAATGACTCAGTTTATGAAGTCAGTCACAGCTACTCACAAATGGTGTATTGACATGTGTCCTATAATAAATACTAGGGAAAGGTCCTCTCAATGCTCTAACGCCCACACCGGATATGGACCGAACTGTCTCACGACGTTCTGAACCCAGCTCACGTACCGCTTTAATGGGCGAACAGCCCAACCCTTGGAACAGACTACAGGAAAGAGAGGGATGGGGTTGCTCTCGCTTTTGGCATAGTGGGCCCCCACCATTCCTAGGAGTACTACAGATAGGTTGGATAGCCTTAATCGTCGGTTCCTTTGGGGAGGGACTGAGGACAAAAAAAAAGGGGTGGAATTTTACTTTAGAATTCAAATAGATTAAATGAAAAAAATTCTTCACCCGAATCCAGGTAAGACCCGATCGCTAAGACCCGAGGTACGAGCCTCTATCTTTCTGTCTTATCTGGTTTCAGGACTGTGAACTTCCTATGAATTTTACAGTCCACAATCAAGGGATTAAGTTAGTGATTCCTGAAAGAAAGTTATTTTACCGACAAATAAATATCTTTTCCTTTCAGAAGTATTCGCGGAACTGATACTAAATCTAAATCAAATACTAAGTCGATATGAAAAATTTTTATCTATTTTTCATAATATTCGGGATCGAGCATTGGACATGTGTCGGCACATCAAGTTATGGATGGCTCCAATTTCTAATAACATGACATCTAAAATATAATATTAGTTAGTGCTACAATAGATGATATAATATAGGAGTTTTATCAATACAAGGCCTGAAAGATGGGTAAACTATCAATGCGGGGCTTGAAAGATTTTTTTTCTCAATTCGGGACCTAAATGTTATAAAACTATCAAATTAAAGACCCGAAAGATGGGTAAACTATCAATACGGGGCCTGAAAGATTATTTTTCTCAATTCGGGACTTAAATGTTATAAAACTATCAAATTAAGTGTAAAATTAAAAAAAAAAATCATAACACAATTAAATCTAGAGTTTAAAAAAATATTTAATTATTATATTTTATTTTCATATTCATTCACATTTTTTAAAATTTTGCATTCTTCCATCAATTTTTCTAGTCTTTAACTCACTTTTTCATTCAAACATTTTTA